AGAGATTCAGACTCAGTTGACAATTCTATTATTGAATGTGAGTATTTCTTGTGAACATAAACTGCAACACCACCTCCAAGCCTATCAGTACGGTCTCTACGATACAATGAATAATTTTCAACTGAAAGAAACGTATTTGGTATAGCAGCAGTCAGCCATGTTTCTGATACAACCATAACATGTGCTTGTGTCTGAGCAAGTATTACTTTGAATTCATCCAGTTTAGGTACAAGACTTCTCATATTTAAATGCAGATTTTAAAGCCTCTAATTTTACCTAGTTGATTTAGCGTCCCTGGATTTTTTTTTAGACAGGAAAATTGCTTTTGCTTTTTTATTTGTATTTAAATCTTTATTAATTTCTTTAAAACAAATCAATTCTATGTACGAATATAAAAAAGAAAAAAACCACTAACACAATGAAATGAAAGGAAGCAGAGAGAAGAAAAAAATCTTATGGTATCTGCTCCTTTTTTTCCCTCAAGTATAAACTCAAATACTAATCTTCAGTTAACATAAAACAAAACATAAAACAAAACATAAAAAAATGTCTAATCCTTCTAGAACACAAATTTACATTAATGCATATCAAACTTTTTCATATTTCTTCAAAATATGCTTCACTAAGCTTGTGAAGCTATTGGTTTATTTGAGGTTGCTGTAGGCTACTGAAGCACTGTGATCAAATAAATTTGACAATCAGTTACGTCAACATGTTTACAAAAATTCAAAACAAGATTTTTAAGCCAACTGAGCACAGGTTTTTGATAAAGGATCGATATCTGAAGTGACAAAAAAAGTAGATCAGTGTATACCTTCCCCTTGTCTCGTTGTTGGATCCAGATCCTGCAGGAGCTGGAGTACGGAGCCTCCGTGGACTGGTGGGCTCTGGGGGTGCTGATGTACGAGATGATGGCCGGGCAGCCTCCATTCGAAGCCGACAACGAAGACGACCTGTTTGAGTCCATCCTCCACGACGACGTCCTCTACCCCGTGTGGCTCAGCAAGGAGGCCGTGTCCATACTGCGAGCGGTACGTGGCGTCCCTCCTACGTCACCAAACCCGCTGTTTGTTTTATGCATTTGTATAAATTCATTCATTCAGGTTAAAACGTTCTTTCGATGTCTTGGTTGAGACAACTCAGCAATTAAATTTCCATTCCTATAACTAATAAATACTCAGAAGGTCTTTATAAATCACATTTATTTAATTTACTGAATACAGAATACATTTTATTAGATTGTGGAATACAAATTGTTTTTCTCTGTTGGATTTTCCACCATTCAGCAGGCTGGAAGTATTTTTGTTTTGTAACAAGAGTTTTTTTGTTTAGCGTGAAACCAAGTTAATGGAAATATTAGACTTCKAAACTCAGCAGGCCAGCATCTATGAAAAGAAAAGTGCTCAAATTAATTTTAATGGAACATTTAGTCTCTTAAAACCAGCTCCTGTTTGAACCATTAATGCCTCAGCTCTATTTTTAGCTTAAAAAATGGTCTTCTGCACAACCTTTCTTTGTCTGWTTTTAACGTGTAAAGGATTAAACCGCGGCTGAGTGTTGGTTATTAGTCTAACAAGATTTGTGGATTGTTGTTCACAGTTCATGACGAAGAACCCGGCCAAGCGTCTGGGCTGCGTGGTGAGCCAGGGCTGCGAGGAGGCCATCAAGACCCACGCCTTCTTCAGAGAGATCGACTGGGTTCTGTTGGAGCAGAGGAAAGTGAAACCGCCCTTTAAACCTCGAATTGTAAGAAACGCACAAACTAAACACCACTRATTTTGATTACACTGAGAGCAGCATCTTCATTGTGTGTGTATGTATAGATATGATTTTTAGACTAACTTCAGATAATAAAGCTGTTAAAACAATATTTCAATTAAACTAGGTTTGCTGATTTAATAATAATAATAATAATAATGATAATAATAATAATAATAGATTTGTAACACACCTTATATCTGAAAGCAGATCTCAAAGTGCAACACACTGCATTTCCATTCACCATCAAAATGCGCAAATTAGAATTTCTAAAATAAATTTGCTCAATGGAAACACGTCAGTTTAAAAAAATAATACATTTTTCGACAAAATGTTTTTGCGCTGTGAGGTGGTTTTTTGGCCGTATCGAAATTGGTGCTTTTCGCAAAACTGCAATGGAAACACTTTTTTCGCATCACGGGAGTCACGTGATCAACAACTGGCTGTTTCTACTGGCGAAAAAKATGGCGATGAAGAAGATAACAGGAARTAAAAGTAGTAGTAATATCACAGAAGTAGTAAAAGAAAGTAGTAAACTCACGACTACAATTTCCCAAAAACACAGCATACGTAGCCGCTCCGAAGTATGAGGGTCTTGTTGTATCGAAAGCCTCGATAAAAGACGCCGACGTCTCCTCTGATGATGAGCGCTAGTGTCGTGGTAGCAACATGCTATGTGTTTACATCCATTACCGCCATGTTTGTATTGACTTATCGCAAGAACAAACGTATTTCCACGCGACTTAAATCACATTTCTTACTTATTGGAAATATCGAAGTTGCGAAACTGTGTTCTTTCGACATTAACAGAATATCGACAAAGTTTTGCGTATGTTTGCAATGGGAATGCAGCTAATAAAAGAGCATAAAAACAATACAAAAAAGAGTAGAAATAAAATGGAATAATAAATGAGATAGAAGAGAAGTTAGCTATTAATTTGTTGGAATAAAAATGTCTATATCTGTTATATTGTACATATGTTGTATATATGTTGATGTCAGTTATTTTATAGTAAATAGATCGTATTTATTTAGCACTTTTCTATCCAACCAGGATACTCATAACACTTTACAACAAAATACGTGTCCTCATTTACCCATCCACACAGCACTCTACTATCTCTCTACAAAGCTAATCTAGATAAATCATTCTATGGAGACGAGTCGGTTCTTTAAAACACACTCATACTCTGACCCCTAATTTACACTAGATGTRGTTACACTTCGCTCCACAGTAAATACGCAACCATTATAATCAATGGGCCTCATGCAAGAACATGTTCGTATTTTTATCCTAAATTTCTCTTACTTTTGTTCGTACAAAGGGTTCGTACGAACATGTC